ATGGAGCGGGGACCCCCTATTTACAGGTGCTGGTCATAAAATTAGAATATCATGAAAAAGTAGATTGATTTCAGTAATTCCATTTAAAAAGTGAAACTTGTATATTATATTCATACATTACATACAAACTCATATATTTCAGATGTTTATTTTGTTTAATTTTGATGATTACAAATGACAACAAATGAAAATCTCAAATTCATCATATCAGAAAATTAGAATATTACTGAAGACCAATAAAAACAAAGGATTTATAGAAATGTTGGCCAACTGAAAATTATGAACATGAAAAGTATGAGCATGTACAGCACTCAGTATTTAGTTGGGCCTCCTTTGGCCTGTATTACTGCAGCAATGCGGCGTGGCATGGAGTCGATCAGTCTGTGGCACTGCTCAGGTGTTATGATAGCCCAGGTTTGCTGGCCAATTAAGAACAGGGATACCATGGTCCTTCAACCAGGTACTGGTAGCTTTGGCACTGTGTGCAGGTGCCAAGTCCTGTTGGAAAATTAAATCTGCATCTCCAAAAAGTTGGTCAGCTGCAGGAAGCATGAAGTGCTCTAAAACTTCCTGGTATGTGGCTGCGTTGACCCTGGACCTCAGAAAACACAATGGACCAACACCAGCAGATGACATGGCACCCCAAACCATCACTGACTGTGGAAACTTTACACTGGACTTCAAGCAACGTGGATGAAGTGCCTCTCTTCTTTTCCTCCAGACTCTGGGACCTTGATTTCCAAAGGAAATGCAAAATTTACTTTCATCAGAGAACATGACTTTGGACCACTCACCAGCAGTCCAGTCCTGTTTCTCTTTAGCCCAGGCAAGACGCTTCTGACGCTGTCTGTGGTTCAAGAGTGGCTTGACACAAGGAATGCGACAGCAGAAACCCATGTCTTTCATACGTCTGTGTGTGGTGGTTCTTGAAGCACTCACTCCAGCTGCAGTCCACTCTTTGTGAATCTCCCCCACATTTTTGAATGGGTTTTGTTTCACAATCCTCTCCAGGGTGCGGTTATCTCTCTTGCTTGTACACTTTTTTCGACCACATCTTTTCCTTCCCTTCGCCTCTCTATTAATGTGCTTGGACACTGAGCTCTGTGAACAGCCAGCCTCTTTAGCGATGACCTTTTGTGTCTTGCCCTCCTTGTGCAAGGTGTCGATGGTCGTCTTTTGGACAACTGTCAAGTCATCAGTCTTCCCCATGATTGTGTAGCCTATAGAACTAGACTGAAAGACCATTTAAAGGCTTTTGCAGGTGGTTTGAGTTATTTGCTGATTAGAGTGTGGCACCAGGGGCCATCAATTTTGAACCTTTTCACAATATTCTAATTTTCTGATATGATGAATTTGAGATTTTCATTTGTTGTCATTTGTAATCATCAAAATTAAACAAAATAAACATCTGAAATATATGAGTTTGTATGTAATGTATGAATATAATATACAAGTTTCACTTTTTAAATGGAATTACTGAAATCAATCTACTTTTTCATGATATTCTAATTTTATGACCAGCACCTGTAATTGGCATACTCAGATGAAGTTAAAAGTAGCTGATTAGTGGGATATGCAACTTGTACAAAATGTTCATGTATATATATGCATAAAAAGAGTGACACACTGTTTCTAAAAATAAAATGGAGAAATGATGATGGAAACTGTCTTATTTTTTTGGGAACAGTGATGTTTTTCAAAGTTTAAGAGCTACTGGGAAGGAGGAACTGTGATTACGCTCCTTAATGCATCTAGAGTCCGGCTAATTAGTATGCATAAAAAACATTCTCTCTAATCTTGTGCATATGTTAAGAGGCTGATTGAGGTAAAATTCGGTTAAATTGTTGAACCAATTGCTGAACCAAATTACAATAATAGTCATGGCAATTTATTGTAAAAGTCAAAAAGTGAGGCTGAAGAAAAATTTTATGTAGTCTTTTCAATCTATGTAAAAAAGTGAAATTTGAATGTTTACTTTAAGTTTAGTGCTGTCTTATATAATAAAATAATCCATAGCCATTTAAGGGCAGGCACACAATCCTGTTAACATCAAATCAGATTAAAATTAAATTAGCTAAATTCCGATTTTTGGCTAGTTTGTTACATTTTGGTTCATTTGAGTACAATCCAATTGATACGATCCACGTCTGCTGACCTCTCAGTTGGAAGATGACCACTGTCTGGTCATTTGTCGTTGGTTGTCGTCTTCCAAAAATAAATCAGTGCTGCTGAGTCATTGCTCCTACAAATCATGATGTGCTGCACAGATCAGGCGTTTACAGATATTTTTAACACTTTGCTTAAGACGTGGCATTTGTCACACTGTTGTAAATCCTCCACTATCATCAACACTGCATCTGAAATAAGCACAACACACAGAGAATGCACTGAATGCTGAATGCACTTGGGGACACCTAGCAAGTAGGTAAACTTACAACTCAGTTTAGCAGCAATGCTGCCAAATAGAAAGTTACTGGGGAATTTATGTAAGGAAGAAAAATAAACTTTCCAAATTTAGAAATATACAAATCTAGAAGAAATTAATACATTTGCTATGTGATGAACACCAAAAAAACTGACCAAGATCTAATTTGCTCAGGCTTTAGCATAACTCTTCAATAAGGGTGTCATAACTTAAGAAAAGGTAGTTGAAAAAAATAGCCTTAGGCTGCATATCTTGACAAGTACATAAGCAAAAAAGTTTGACATGCTTGAAAATTCCTACCCCAAGAGCCCCACAAAAGCTCTGTGCATTGACTTGTGAATGTTTTCACCTCCTCAATTGAAAATGGATGCCTTGCACTCAGCAGCTCTCATGAGGTATTTAGAGCCCTTGGAAGCCAACAGGCTTATTTCCTGTTGATGATGTGAGTAAGAGTAAGTAAGTGACAGACGAGGATAGGTTTCCATATCCGCGGTGAGGAGAGAACATGTCTGCTAATGGTTGGAGCAATGTGGGAAGGACTGGATGGACAAACACACTCTTATGCTCATTAATGGTTACCCTGGGAATTGGGGTAAATTACCATGATATGGGATCTTATATGCGTGGTGTGGGGTTGGCTCCTTTGTTTGCCAGAATGAGATGAATTCATGGTTATACTTAAAACGGAGGATAGAATTTAAAAAAGGAAAGAGGAGCATGGAGATAAATGATCTGACTGGCAGATGTGCAATATTTTTGGCTGTTGTTTCTGTCCCTCCCCTCCAAAGAAATATTCATACCGAAAACATCCTGCTTGGTGAGATATTTAAGATTGTGATGCAAAGTGCTCCATCTGCAGCAGGTTATAAAGATGCAACCTTTTGTTGGGAGGAGTTTACTTCTGACTTCATCCATGTTTCATAGATCAACAAACTCACGAATAAAGCTGCAAGTGTCTCTGAAAGCTGCAAATACTTCTATTAAATGTGTGAAAAAAAGATCAATTGAGACGATGTCATCTGACACCACTTGACCTGCCATCATGAGGAAAATCTATTAAAGGCTTCAGTTTCTCTAAACTTTTCTCTGTGATCAGCTTTCTTCTCTCACTTGAAAATACCCTCAAAGGGGTGCATACAAGAATTAAAGCAGCAGTGAAGATTTGATTTTGAAATGAGATTACTCATTAAACCTCAAGATTCCTTGTAAGGAAAGTCCCACACTGACATAGCATTTTCTTTTATGATGCAAACATAGCAGTAAATAATTTACTGCTTGTTCTACTGCTGCTTTTCCCAGCATTATTTCTGCTTTTTTCTCCAAGTAAGAAATATAAGAAAGCTCTGTAATTTGGATACATTTCAATGAAGAAAATCTAGGATGTCACAATAAAAGATTTTTAAAGAATTATATGAAAGTTTTGGTGGAAAACTAGTTTTTTCTCAGGCACAAACAAGCATAATGTCTGGCCTTCATAGACGTGCAGAAGAATCTCTTCTTTCCTCTACTCATTACTTGTATAAAAGGCGTCTGTTTGAAGTCATTATCTGTATACAGACACCTGTCCACAGCTTCAAATAGTCAAACTCCAAACTCAGCCATGGTCAAGACCAGACAACGGTCAGAGAACACCAGGAAGGGAATTGTAGACCTGCACCAGACCAGGAAGAGTGAATTGACAATAGAGAAAAAAAGTTGGGTAAATGTGGATGATGTACTGAGTTTAGGTTACCTCATATTTAGCCCTGTTAAAAGTGGACCATCTAAAAATGGAACTGTAAATGGACTACATTTTATAGAGAGAAATCATCACATTCACTCAGTCACACTCAAAAACATATAGTTTTAATCCACACCGTTTGGATTGCAAAATATCTAACACGTATCTTTAAACTATAAAGTGACAAACTGCAGATTACAAAAAAAAAACATCCCCTAAAATATTTCCCTTTAACGTTTTGCCTTTGGCATTGTATTAAAACACCAATGATGTTTTAATGCTGTTTGCAGCTTTATAAATAAAACATTTATTTCATTTTTTCAGTTACGAATAGCACACTGCTACATTTTTTTAGTGGGTTTAGCATGTTTGTGCATACTTGGAAACTATATCTATTTTATGACATGATATATCCTACCATTTATAGCTGTTGAGGAGCAGATAAAATGCCTCTGCTGCTGGATTCTGGTGGTCTCTGAGTTTGATACATATGTTATAGAAAGTGGAAGGGTAAATTATTTTCTTTCAGGACGTTTCTGTGTTTTGCGTAGGGTATTTTTTTCTTCTTCTTTAATTAAACACTCAGGTAAGGCTTTTTAAAGATATCTGGACCCTGAAACCTAATATATGAAATTTTATTAGGTTGTACCTACTACTTATAAGGTCTTTAGGTGTTTCTTCCAGTTTTAAATCAAACAGAGAGCTGAAAGGAGGAAGAATATCGCACTGACACTTAGCAGGTAGCCAAAAGGAGCCAACAAGTTCAAGCCTGTTATTGGAATGCTGCCCTTTTAACTTACAGTAACTAGGATACATTCAAAACAAATCCAGTTTATATTTCTTTATTCTTTGCAGCAAACGACCCAATAGATGTAAGCACATTTTCTCCAAGTCCTTCGGACCCCCCTGAGGTTTTCAACCCACTAGAGGACCTCCCACCAGAGATCACTACTGAAAGCAATTCTAACACTACTGATGGACACCCCCCAGAAAGACTCAACCCGGGATTGAACGATAAGCTCATCCCCATCTACTCCTCCATCCTGGCAGCGGTTGTTGTAGGACTTGTGGCCTTCATTGTCTTTAAGAGGTGAGTACAGTGTAGTTAAAAGTGCATATTTTGCCATAGAGGTTGAAGCGCATCATCTTACAGAATAGGAATCAGAGAGCTGGATAAGCTATGTTACAATTAGCAACATTGCCTCTGATTTACCAGCTAAAAACTGAATAAAGTTTAACCGTAATGCTGCTACTTTTTCTTTTTTTATAATTAATCTATGTATTTGTGATGCTACAAATAAAAGTTCAATGATAAATTGATATCTGTTTACATCCTGGATATAATATATGGTTGTCATGGTTTTGGCTTTCTCTTTCTTTGCCATATTTTTATATTTAATGAATCACCTGCGGCTGCTTTTCAATATTAGAGTAGTGTTCTTGTTTTATGGGTCACATTATGGTCCTCTAATCCATTTTTTCCATAAATGATGTATGCACAACATGTTTTAGACATTAATATTGTAATAGTTATATTAATGTTGCATTGCTTTTAGTATTTTGGAAGAAACCAAGAAAAGAAATGGGAGATTGTGAACAATTCAGCTCCTAACAAGTTCATTGCTTTAACAGTCTAGACCAGAGGTCACGGATTAGCGGACCGCGGTCCAGATCCGGACCCACCTGCTTGCTATTCCGGACCCAACCTGATTTAAAACATTTATAAATCACTGAATGTTGTCAGATGGTAGTGTATAACTTCACTTGTGCCGCTTCTCCTGTTTGTACGTTAAAGCCCTCGGGAACAAGGCTGCATGTGATGCATATTAGCCAATGAGATGTGTCAGTCTGAGCTTTTGCCACTAGCTACTTTTAGACACAACAGGCAAATCAATGGCAAGCCGGCTGGTGGGTAACGATGATGAAAAAATGTGAAAGAAAGTGTAGATTGCTGGAAGAAGCGCGGTGAACTAGTGACAGAAAAGTGAAATGGTGTGCTCAAAGATGACCATGCACATTTTTAGTATGTTTGGTTCAACCTGCTGCTGTGAAGCAGGATTCTCCACCATAAACAGAATCAAAAGAAAATATCGATCCGGGCTCAAAATGAAAATGTGCTTTGGAATGTCTTTATCACCATTCAAACCCAGGTTTAAAGTCTCACAGGTCAGCTAAAGCAGTTCAGTGTTAAATTCTGTTTAAAGTAATTATTAAAATTGGTTTCATCTATATCTAGTGAAAACTAGATATAGATGAGTCAATCAGGAAATTGTCTATATACCACACTGCAGTGACGTGCGGTCAGGGGAGGCAGGTGAGGCAGTGCCTCACCAGCCATCATGGAAAGAAAGAAAATATATAATCATAAAGTAATTTAAATTGTTATATTCATCCGGTGGTTTGTACTAAAAAATATTCATTTTTCATGTAGCTTCACCAATTTCGATTTTTATTTGTTCAAAATCGCTGAATTTTCTTATTTTCCCATTCAAATGCTTGGAAGCGATGCCGGTGAGGCAGCAGCGAGCTCTGCCTCACCTTGGATTGCGCAACCCCTGGCTCTGCGCTGGCTGCAAAGCGGAGAGAGCATGTTGCTGTACGGCGTCAATAAAATGGTTTAAACAAATGTAATATGTGAACTTATTTCTAATAATTTGGCTTATGTATATAATGTACTGAGCTTTTTGTCACCAACTGTGTTTGTGTAACGTGTTTCGTGTAATGAGCGATTATAAACGGCAGAGAACAAGTTCGAGGTGAGGCAGGCAGTTCTCTTGCCTCATGGCAGGGGGTGCTCAAGAGACTGAAAACATAAGGCAGGAACAGGACGGATCAAGGAAGGCTTTCTTCCCTGGCAGTGATCTCCATTGAGACAGAGAGACTTTTAAAACTGAAGGAAGATAAGGAGGACTTCTATTCATTTATAAGTAAAGGTAAGACAGTAATAACGTTTATTTTGTTTTGTTTTTTAAGGAAATGTGTGTTTTGTGAGCTACAGTTTGTATGTGTAAGGATGCAGAAGTGAAACATAACCTGTAAACTGCTGTCAATCTATGCATCTATTTGCAAATCTGATTCTGATGACGTCAGTGCCTCACCAGCTATGAACCTCACCGCACGTCACTGCCACACTGAACGATTGTTGTTCTTTACTTCAAAAAACACATTAGATTTTCAAATTGAAATTTTAACATTTTTCTTTTAAGTCAATATATAACATGGATGCATAAAATCCTCATTTTTGTTAAATTCTGTTCAAAGTAACAGATTATAATGAAAAACGTTACTGGTTGATGATTTTCTTTATTTCACACCCCGCTGATTTTTCATTGGTTACCGCTGGTCTAGACCATAGTAACAGTCCTGAATAGTTGTGTAGTTGTCAGATGGGGTTTCTTGCAGCAAGAGGGTCATCGGTTGAATCCCGACATGGTGCCTTTCTGCAAGTTTGCATGTTCTTCCCATTCATGCATAAATAACCCCTGATAGGACTATCTCCCAAAATACAATGGTTATTGTTACCCTTTTGTTTCTACTTATTCTCATCAGGTGGAACAGCTGTAAGCAGAACAAGCAAGGAGCCAACAACTGCACGACCAACACCAACCAGACTCCGTCACCGGAGGGAGAGAAGCTCCACAGTGATAGTGGTATTTCTGTCGACAGCCAAAGTCTGCAAGAGCAGCAGGGCCAGACTCAGTCACAAACTGGTAAATTCACTTTTGAAATGCTCACCAATACGAGGATATAAGTGCATATATGTATTTTTTTTCCTTTAAATGTTTCAGTTTTTCTCTATATTGTTCCACTTAGTAAGTTTAAAGAAATATTCCCCTTCAGGAATGAAGCATCTTAGACCTTCAGTTACATGTTGACAATGACCTTTGAAACTAGCAACTCAGAGGACAAGGTCCACAAAACTGCAGGGTTTAGGAGTTAGGTTTTTTGGACTGTGCTCACTGCTGCTTAATTCATGTTGAAAAAATGTATGACTGTTACTGCATATTTTACCACCTGTAAAACATTAAAGAAAGCAAAAAAAAAAAAACCCTCTACAAATAGTACCAAAGCTGTTTCTTAGATTTTTAGATACAGGAAACATCATTCAGAATCAGTTCACAAAATGTAATTCTAAACAGCTGAATGCAAAACAATAATAAAATGGAAAAAATATTTTTATTTACACTTGTGTGTCCAAAATGACAAAATAGAATCTGTCTGTGTGTCTGTCTGTCTGTCTGTCTGTCTGTCTGTCTTTTGCATTCTTTTATTTAAGATATTTGTTGTATTTTTATAAAAGAGCTAGAAAAAAAACAGCCTTAAGTAAAAATGAAAATGTTTTGCATTCTCATTACTTAGCAAAACCCCTTTAAGCAAGCATTTCAACTCGCTTTGACTGTTTCATGCATCTAACAGTGATTTGGTTGTTTTTTGGGGAATTTTCTCCCTCTTTTAGTTAAGGGCCTCTGATATTTATATCTGCTATTTTTGACTTAACGTCACTGTTTTACAGCGGGCTATCTCAATATTTGAAAAAAATGATTGGAAATTATTTTCATAAAACCTTCAGTGTGTGTTTAAGAGAAAATTACATCCTCCAAAATGTTTCACCTCAGGCTTCTCAGTTGAGCTCAAAGCAGAGTCAGAGAGTCACTCTTATGTGGTAAAAAAAAAAAAAAATAAAAGATTTTTGAAAGGTCATCAGTTCTTAGCAATTACATGCTTCTGAGAACACATAATCTAAAATTTGTGTATTTTGGATGTTCTAAACAAAATGTGACTCAAAACATTTAGCTGCTCAAGGCCGTTAAATTTCTTATCTATCACAAACATAAGGACTTCTTATTGTAACTCCTGTGTGTTTTTCTGCCCTATGTTAACTTCTAATAGCTGTCTTCAATAATGAGCTGAGAGGAAATGAGGCTCACTTCAAATACAGTAATGCATACACCTTAGTGTGTTTCTTTGCACAGAGAGATCTGAGATTTTTTTGGACTGATTGTCTGGTTATCACCATTCCTCATCTTTCATTATAAATGATGTAGGATGAAAGGGTAAAGGGTGATTATTTTTCAAACTGGCCATGTAAATGGGTTATCACACAGGTGCCCAAGTGCAGTCATTAAGCACTGCTATCATCCAACCTATAGAGGTATCACTTCTCTAACAATCAAATTAAATGAATTGGCTCGTTATCAGGCCATGTGGACCTGCATAGCCCACTTTATTAATCTCACACTGGAGAAATTCACCTTTGCATTTGACCCATCTCCTCTGGGAGCAGTGGGCTGCCACTGTGCGGCACCCGGGGAGCAGAGTGGGGGTAAAGGGTCTTGCTCAAGGAGCCAGAGTGGCAGTCTGTGGGGCTTGAACTAAGAACCTCTCTAAGAACATTAGCCCGCCACTCCCCAACTTATGACTAATGACTAAGAGCCGATGATACAATTCAAGATTTTGATTCTGGTGTTCAAGGGATTCATCTAAAAGTTTAAGGGTAGTTGCTGATGAGAACTAGACTTGCAAACCACTGGTTTATACTACACAGTGCTAGACTATTAAGCAAAAATAAACCATAATATTTATAAATTTTGTGTGCAAAAACCACTCACGACCCTGTTCCCTAAATCCAGGTATCTGGATCTGCATTGAAGTTCTGGCTTGAATAGGTCTTTGATCCAACACTTTGTATTGGATCCCCGCTTTTTGTATAAACCATAGAGAATTAGAAAATAACTATCTGTAAGTTTATGCAAGTAATTCATTCTAATTAAATAAAATATTTCAAATTTTTCCTTACAGTTGTGACTATCGATGAAGAACCTTGTCTGCTCCTTCCTCTTCACACCAGAGAGAACGTGGAGAAGCTGCTTTCCCGAGGCAATGAAGGAGGAAACTCTGATCACATGCAGGACAGTGACTGGTGCAACCTGGCAGGTCTCCTCGGATACGAGGAGGAGCGGATCGCGACCTTTCAGCAGGAGGAGCATCCGGTCCGAGCGCTCCTGTCTGATTGGGCAAGGAAGGACTGTGCAAGCATCGAGGCTTTGTGCACAGCGCTTCGCAAGATCAACCGCGAGGATGTTGCTCAAAGTCTGGTCCTCAGCCCTGGTGGTACAAAGCCGACTGCTACTTCCGTGGTTTAACTTTTCTGCATAACTTTCAGCAAAAACTTAACACCTGAACCTTAATGTTTAAGTACTTCAAAAACAGTGTCCTAGATTATTCCACACATTAACCCCTGAAACAGTTGCTTGATATTATGTCTTCATGATATGATCCAAGAAATCCCTAAAATTATATTTATCAAAAAGAATGTTTTATATAAAACACACAACATAACGAATATATCAAAAAACAATTCCACCCAAGTCCACCCGTTAATTGCAAGAATATGTTTAATTAGGTTAATTATTTGAACTGTTAAACCAAATGGAAAATGAAATCAATTTGAAAGTTGAAAAAGTGCAATTCAATTGGACTGCTGGTGACACCTAGCATAAAATCCTCTAACCAAACACAGTGTCGAGCTGTTGTGTGCTCTGAACGCAAATTTCCGTGGACAACCTTGTGTTAGCTTCCTTCTGCCTTATCCTCTATCTCTCTGGCCCTGCCACTGTTTACTCTATGTTCTACTACATCCACGTAACCAAAGAAGCAGAAGTGTTTCCAGACCTGACCTGCTCAGTGACATTATTTACATGCCATGTCAGACCTTTAAAATTTAATTTGACAAATGGCTTGCGTCTGTTACAACTGAGTTGGTTTCTTTTACTGGATGAGGTTGTCATTCTTGTAAGTCTTTGGATACGTGCAAATATGACAGCCTAAGGAGGTGAAAATGGAACCCATCCCTTCCCTCCCTCATTAGTAGCAGTGCATGTGGATATTCTTGTTTTTGTTTTGTTTTTATTTTTCATCTAGTGCTATAAAAAGTGCTAGTTGCAACCTGTGATTGTAGGCCCAGGTTTTTAGCCAGTGAAACATGACTCAAGTATCTCAATTACTCAAATAACTCATTACCCTAAAAATGGTACAAAACGTGTAGAAATCCTGCATACTATATTTACATCGTAAACAAGTAGACTACTAATGTAGGCATAGATTTAGTTGACATTCATAAACACCTACTGTACCGTCCGTAGCTCTGCATGCATGTAGTGTGCTGAACAAACACACAATCATATTTTTTTGTGCATTTGCATCTAAATGTATGAGAGAAACAGAAACAAAACTCTCAATTCTGCCACATATAAGGCAATGGCAGACTCTCTTGATGGGACCATATACTGTTTAATGTTGATATTTGTGGCAATTTGATTTGACTTTTTTTGGGCAACATGATGTATTACAGCAAACACACTATATAAGGAAAATGCAAAAATGAATTAAAGTGCTTAACTTGGGTAAGTAAGCTAAGTTATTATTCTAAGTACTTTGTAACTCGCATAAAAAAAAATAAAGTTTTCATTTCTTGTTAACTCCTAGCTGACTCAACACATACAGCTTTAGTCTGTAGAACATTTAAATCCTGTTTTGGCTGACAATGTCTTCTTATGAAGAAGCTGAAGCTCATGGTGGCCTGTTTCCTTTGTTTTGGTATTTCCTGTCAGTTATTCAGTGACTGAATTAACTGCAGTCGAAACTTAGAGAAAAAGTTGTGCTTCTGGAACGTAGTGCTTTGCTTTGAATGTCATGCTATCTGGAGAGCACTCTGCCCTGATTATATCATATAAGATGAGTAACTGAGGTGCAGCAACCGGGACATTCTCTCTTTCATTGTTAATCTCGTTGTGAACTATTAAAACACTTGGATTATTAGGTAAAATCCTTTAAACCCTGTTACCATAAAACTCTTTAACATGTGAAACTACGACCATCAAACTTTTTGTGTCCAAAATTCTCAGGGAATTAGAGCTCAACTCTTAAACAGTCAACAACTGAATACATTTGCTTTAGGATGACTAAATATGTCATTATTCTTGCAATGGACAATCCTTCTAACGGACGAATTGGACGTAGAAACTGGTCTGTAGAAAAAAGCTAAATAGGAGAGTGGAGTTTTGTTTCCTCTTTGTTTGCAACAATGACTGCCAAATAAAAGGCAAACTAGCTGAGACAAAAGTCACAGGATGTATGAGAAATGGAGACGTTTCAGATTACTTCAATCAATGCAAAGGTAAAACCCAGGTATAAACGTTAATCAGCTCTTTCAGGTGAAAGCATGCAGACTGTTTTTACATTGCATTGTAGTCTCTTAATTTGAATTTGTGGGAATATTTTTTTCATCTAATGTGACGTTTTATTTTTGTAAATAGTGTTTTTTTGTTGAGGGCAATTTGGACCTACATTTTTTGTTCACTGCCTGTATGAGGAAAACATCAGAAGATACAAGCAACACGGCTAACTGACCCAACTCTCCATCTTGATCTGTTACAATGAAGCACAGATTCCTATTATTCACTAGAATACTGAGCATAATGCTGTTGTATTACTTTGTATGAAGGTATTGTTACTACTCCTAGTACTCCAAAGGTTGTTTGATTCCTAACAAGCAATTTCAAATGGTATTACATTTCTGTTTGATTGTAGCACTTAAATGTGTAATTATTCATGTTTTCTATGCATCACAAGTGCCTGGGAACTTCAGGTGAATGTTGATGTTGTACATTTGTTGATTTTAGGAATTTGTAAGTGTAATGAGCTTTTTTTTTTTCTTCAGCTTGTAAATAATTAGCATTTATTCCTTAGTTTAGTTTAGTTAAATTCTTGTAGTTGCCGCTATACAGTAAAAATGTAAACATTGCTTACTCTATTACAGTTTATGTTTGATTTAAACATAAAGGAATGGAGCTTTAATTATAATTATTGTAATCAGCTGTTTCAAAGGCTTGAGGAAGGAAGAATTCGAAAATAAATTCTCAGTTATTTGGGGGATTAGCAAGTGCATCTAAGTAGAAGTGGTTTACCAAATTTTATGACACCTAATATAATTTCAACAAACAAGAGCACGTTTTTTTTTCTTTTAATAAAAGGCTAATTTAAGCATGTTTGTACAAACCCATTAGTGCCATATTTTACATTTCTTTTAGTAGTCATTCAGTTGTGAGAGTAAAGGCATACACAATAATTACCAATTTAAAATCAGCCATTAGAAGTTCGTTTGTGTAACTGCATGGAGCAGAGATGTGAAATCTTTATTCTAATTTAGCAAGCTGTAAGCTAGTTTGCTAATAATTAAACAAAATTTATAAATTAAAGACAAATTTCTTTCTTTTTAAGTCAAATCAAAATTGTCCATCATATTTGTGGATCAGGTAATTCGCAAAGGTTTACAGTTTTAATATTTGCATGGTAGTATTAATATGTACAATATAATAAGCTATAGCAGACAACCTTCTTCATTAATAAAAATATTACAGATTAGAGAATAAATGCTAAAACATTCCCAGATCAGATTATCTGGAACATTTCCACCAGCAACCGTGTTTTTTAGATCTTCTTCAAAGTTTAAGTCCCAGATTAGATAGAAGAAAATCCAGAGATTGTTCTATTAAGAGGTATCTGTGTTTTAGTTTTTTATATTCATAATGGATTTATCAGACTTAAAGGCCGCATCCTGACTCTGGATTATCTGTACTTTATATGTGAATTTAGATTATTATTAATTTTTTTAATCTCAAACAATAGAAATAATTTCTCTTTCTGGCTAAACACACTAGAAACAGTAGAAGGTGAATGTAATTACGTTGCACTTGAGGCACAAACTATAGCTTAATTATGCAAAAAGGGAGTTATAGATAGGTTTGGGTGAGAGTGTAAGAATGAAAAACCTTGTTTTTGGTGTGTATTTAGTGAGAAAACCCTGTCTTAGGAAACAATAATGGGAAACCAGGACTGAATTGTACATAAACAGTGAATGTTCCATGTACTAATACTTATACATATAAAGTCTTATATTGAATGTGAATTTACTTTCAGCGCTATTACTGTAGGCAAGCAGTAAATAAAGCTCATTAACTCACCAGTTTTCGTTATTTATTCAACAATATAAATAAGCTTTATTAGCTTGGCACGTTGATTAAATAAAAAAACTAAAAAATGTAAGAGTAATTAAAATACACTGTAAAAATCGTTAAACAAAACTCAGTTGTTATTAAGATTTTTTGGGGGGGATGTTAAGCATGTTCTAGCAGCTATTTGAAAAACTGAATGGATTTACATGTGATGCTAATTACTGCAGTACAAGCCAACAATGCAACACTTGAGGCATTATGGTATGGAGATAAATTACCAAATAATTTGCAGTTTTATTCATAAATCAGAATTAACCATTAATACTTGCAACTATAAATTGTTTTAAGCATTGCAGTCATTTTCTTCCTACACTGCAAGTATGAAGATCCAACTTGGAAATCCAACTACCGTAGTTATTCCAACCTAAACTGAAGTTTAGCTGCTGGCTTCTCATTTTTTTGGCATACATGTTTAATTATTTGATTGAGATTTCCATAATGATATGATAAATTGTTTTCATATACGGTAAATTTTCTTGAAGGAAAAAAAGAGAAATCAAGAATTTCTCTTTTTTTTATGACCAAAAAAAAAAAAAAAATTAAAATTAACTTAAGCTCAAAATGCATTTCACTTTTTATTTACCTTTTTTTTTTCTTTATATAATTGGTTATAAACATCAAATCCCTTTTCTATATAGTTTTATTGACAACAAAGTTTGATTTGTGAAACCATTATTCAGGACTGAACAGGTCTACGCATATTCCTTCAGTTTATTTCTAACAAACATAAAAAAAAGCTTAATTATTGAAGGGTTTAGGAGAATAACACATTATGTGGTTTGTGGGTAGGAGGAGACCAAAGCAAAATGGGTTATTTTTTTTTCTCAGCTTACGCAAACTAATTGCATGAAATATGGCACAACGTGTTGTAAATGGTAACACTACACTATCATAACAGGCTGTCAGCACTGTTTCCTCTGCCTGGTGAATGAAACGGAAAATAAATGGTGCATGAAAAGGCACATGCTGTTTTCATATTGAGGCGTCACTGGGCTTTCGTTGGTGGTTGTGTTATAAAGGTAAGAATTATACTGTGAGCAATAATTAAAGCATATAATTTTTTTACAATGATTTTTAACTTATGCTTTCTAAAAATATAAAAAAAGTTAAGATCTCTTTAAATGCATCTAAAATAACTAAAACTTGACAGTATATACATAATGATTTATTGATATAAAGATCTTGATGAAATAGTCAACATGGCTTCATTTTATGGACAAATTAACATAATACAAAAACAAACCATGTGATTTGGGGTGAATTGAAAATATGATCTTTTTTTTAGCATAAAAACATAAAAAAGTCATGTATTGTAATGATTTACCTCCCCGGATCCAAAACGAGTGGAAAAGGTAAGAGAAAAACAAGTTAATCACAGTTTTAAAGAACAAGAATTGTTATAAGAAATGTTTCATAGTCTTTGTTTTGGCCCGGAAATAAGAAAGTTAGGTGCAACTTATCCTATGGGATGTTAAAGTATTTTACAGGTTTACCTCACGATATTTATGTGAAATATCGAAGCTTCTCCAGATTCAACTTTACTTAGTTTTCACTGCTTTGCTTTAATCATGCATATCAAAATAAAATAAATCACTATGAATTTATGGCATATATACAGAAAACTTTATAGAGACTGGCAGCCTTTAAAGGTTGAATATTATGCAAAATTCACTTTATAAACAGTTTGTAACATTAATATGTGTCCTGAAGACTGTGTGTAAGAGTCAAAAATGAAAATAACTCACTTCCTTTCTCTAACTCTTAGCTAATGTGCTCAAATGCTCTGTTTGAAAAGCATGCCCTTTATGATGTCATAAGGGGAAATAATCTGTCTAGAGCAGTCTGCTCTAAAGTCCACCAGTTAAGCTCTGGTCTTCATCTAATGTAATATTCTGTGTTTCGAGGCTCTATCTTTATGAACTTTGACTGGTTGTCACTGCATGAAAAGTGGGATTTTCGTCAATATACGGCACTGTAGATTGTTGTGGAACTTCAGGTTAGCGGCAGTTTACGGCAATTTGCAGGCTTCGCCGAAAACTCCCGTAAATTGTCAGAAATTGACGTGGAATTTCTTAGGCAGTGTTCCCCCCATGCCTCCCCCCCATGGAATTCTAGGGGAGGCTTTAACATGTAAATGAACATGCTGTGAGCTATACAAATGCAACCCTGGGTAAGAAAATCTCTGATACAAAGAGATCAGGTATAGCCTCTTACATTTTAGCTTGAATTGATTTATTTAATTAAAGTATAGAGACCAAAACAGATCTTTAGCTGACAGAGCAATACATTTAGAGCAGTAATTTTTTTTTTTTTAAATTTGCATTTAAGATAAAAAATAAAATGTTGTCTGTCAATATGCTCAATTCACAATTACTTAAGTGGAAAAGTTTCAAGAAATAATTCTGAGATGATTCACTTTATAACATGGCACATTATCCTGTTGGAAGTAGCCATCAGAAGATTGGTACACTGTGGTCATAAGGTCATAGGTCAGCATGCTAAATTGGTTTTAAGTGGCCCAAAGTGTGGCAATAAATATCCCCCAAATAGATGGTAGAAATAGATCAGGCTCAGTATAGCCTAATTATAGACTCTTACATTTTAGCTTGAATTGATTTATTTAATCAAAGTACGCTAGATTACTGTGTATGCAAATGTTATGTAAAAAAAATACACAAAATAATTTACTTCAAAAATTTGTTTTAATCAGAATCAGTTGGCTGTAATGGTTAATTTTTTTTTTTAGATTTCCACTTTTTTTTTGTTATTGAATATATAAGAAAACAATAACAATCTCAAATAACAAGTCAATATTCAATAAGAAATATCACAACTCCTGCTTTTGAAAAATAAAATTAAATGCACAGGCTGGAACAAAGTATAAAATAAAATAAAAATAAATAAAATAATAATAGTAGTTAAAGTAAATTAATCAGTGGGGACTATCAACTGAAATTCTTCTATTAACTCAAACAATTTAATTGCATTTAAATTCTGCATCTTTCTCAGACATCTTTTGAAAAGGGAAAGTTCATTTTTGAGAGCAGAGATTGAGAGGGAGCATTTTGCATAGCGACATTTATGGATATAATACTTTGTTACAATTATTAGAATATTGATTAAAAATTCCAAATTTTTTTTCTTTAATGGATAAACCGAATTGAATGTTTTGCCAGGAAATAAAATCTAAATGTATTGTTTTAGAAGACAGAAAGGTTCAAAGTTGATCCCATAAGTTTAATACTTCTTTACATTCATAAAAAAAGATGTTTAGTTGTTTCGAATTGAGTTGTACAAAAGCCACAATTCTCAGCATTAAACTTAAATCTCTCTCTTAAAAACTCATTTGAAGGATATATGTTATTTATTATTTTAAATTGTAATTCTTTATATTTAGGAGGAATTGGAAATTTCAAATAATTTGTCCTAATTTTGACTATCATAGATTTCTTAAAATTTTGTAAGAGAGCTGTGCTTTTTGTTCTTCCTGGGTACATATTATTTATAGAATATTGATTCAAAAACTTGTTGTTGCATTTATTATCTCTAATATCCACCTGCTCAAATTCAATCTTATGGAGACAAACAATTGCAATTGCAAACAATTTATAGGTGCATTACCGCCACCTTCCAGAATGGAGCGACGCGAGCTCTTCTCGCGAGTCCTTCCGTATAACAATGACGTCGTATGTGATTGGAGGAGCCTGATGAGCCTTCGGCCCCATCGTCCAATCACGTGTGAGCTTTTGTGCACTACGACTTCTCGCGAGACCAGCATATTAGCAGACATGTTTGTGTTACTATACTCAGAAGAACTTCATCTCCAGTTACCGTGTTTGTATTTTGTTGTTACGTGAACAATGGCTGCACGACGTCTCGCGTTCAACTCGCCTCCAACTGCTCTTAGTCCACAACTTTCGGCCAGCCCGCAGACTGACGAGAAGAAACTGCTGATTGCTATCAGCGGACTGTCTCGTCAGCTTGCCCAACATACTGCCGACATGAATGAGCGGCTCACTCAGCTGGAGAATTCGATGCACTCCAGGTTGCAGTCCATAGAGGACAAGATGGCGGGGGGTGGCCATTTCTATAGCACCAAAAAGGAGGACATTGTGCGGCATATCAATAAATTACTAAGGTGTACATAAGAATCGGGTAAAGTCACATTTATAGCACAATTCTTAGTAGTTTAAAGAGGATGCTTGTGTAGCTGAATAGAACAAAATATTAAAGAAATGTAAAAAAGAATTGGTTCCCAGCATTTGTATTTATTTAATACATTGTGGTGTTTAAAAAGTGACCATTTTTTAACACGATTAATTTGTGCAGAACTGCTGCAATTGATCATAAAGCAGTTGTTTGGAAAAGAAGCTCGAGAAAGAGCTAGAGAATAGGACGATGCAAGCTGCAAAAAGTGGCTGGAAAAGAGGAATTCATGACATGGCTGCAGCCTGTCGAGAGTAAAGATGATTTCACCATGTTCTCTATCTATCCATATCTATATATATATATATATATATATATATATATATATATATATATATATATATATAGATATAGAGATATATTTATGTATGTGTATAAACTTGAGTCATGGAACTGTGCTTACAGCTCCTTATTTCATGTAAACTAATAACTTGTGTACATGATACTTGTTGATGGCATTAAAATTATTTCTAATAGCATTAAAAGAGCATTAAATTAGAGCTCCTCATTCCTGTATAAAACCTGTGAACGCTTAATTTAATCTGACATATTAAAAAAATCCCCATCATCATCCAGCAGATGTTCAGTTTCTGCCCAAATATTTTCTTTCTGTTGTGGATTTTTGTAACAGGGATAACTAGGATCATACATAGTTTGTATGAACTCTGTTTATTCTCTGCTTCGAAACTCATCATCTCATCCATTCCTGCAATTAGAATTTTCTTTTAAAGTTGTGAGATTCACT